GCCCTGGGATGTTGACCTGTGACCCAAGGTAGGGGGGGGGGAACTCTGGCAGGCCTTAAAAAAATTTAGTATATAAGCTTCGAAAATCTATATTTGGGGCCCTGTAGCAATGCTGGATGCGGCACCTCCAATGCAGTTGAACGGTTAATAACTTATAGTGGAAGTCAGTGTGTCAAGGAAATGAAAAATCTGTTGTCCCTCCCACCTTTCTTGCTCAGCTCAGACTTGTATGGCAAAAGCAAATGTGAAAAAAAGCTGCACCACAGGATGAATTCTTGTACCAGAAAAGGGAGCAGTGATTCATTTTAAGGTTCAAATGTTCATGGCCCACCAGGAGTGCAGCCAGAAATTCTTCAAAAGAGCGGTGGGAAAAACATACCCTTTTTGGATGAAAACATATCTTATTCATTTCTGAAATCCCTGGGCCCCCTTGCCCCACTTGCAGAAACTTACATATCTGTTGTTATTGATGAAGGATAATTGAGGATGACATTTGAACATTGGTGCCTGAAGCATTTCATTTCATATATACTTGTTTGTGATAAACACTCATATCAGCAATGCTGGGAGACTACGAGGAGTTACTGGAACATTAATCACAATTTACGTAAAGAATTGATGTTAACACTTTGTACCTGTAGATGACAATGGAGAAGAGTTTGTATATTATATACCAATTGGGTGGTAAGGTAAAATATAGTCATAATTGTACATGATCAGCACCTCAAAGATTGATCAGACTTGTTCTTCTCATTGGGGTTACTTCAGAAAATCTGCATGTCCTTCAGGTTCAACTGAATGATATAGTGGTAGAGATTTCATACCTGCACATTAGGTTTTTTTGCTTCGCCTTTCATCATCAATGGTATCCTCTGCTCTTCGTTTTCTGAAGGCTTTTGGAGGGGGTGTGATCAATGTATGGCATGTGTATGATTTATAACTTGATGAGCCTTCTGCAATTGCTTGGGGAAAATGGGATGTCTGAAGAGGTGCTGGAGGTAAGCAGAGTTTCAAACAGACTACTATATGTGGATCCAAGATTGTCCATGGCTGATATTGTGGCTAGGTGTTCTTCACCAAGAATTTCATTTCTGGCATCCAGAACTTGGGTCTCCAGCTCCTCTGCTTCTATGTGTTTTCCCAAATGACTGTATGTGGATGCTAGATTTGTCATAGCCAAGATTGTATCTGGGTGTTGTTCACCAAAAGTTTTATTTCTGGCATGCAGAACTTGTATCTGCAGCTTCTCTGCTTTTGTGTAGTTCTCCAGTTTTTGTATGTGCATGCAAGATTTCCTGTAGCTGATATTGTGTCTGGGTGTTCTTCTCCAAGAATGTTATTTCTGGCATGCAGAACTTGGATGTTCAGCTTCTCAGCTTCTGTGTATTTGCCCAGGTCTTGCTTGGTATGTAGATGCAAGATTTCCTGTAGCTCTGATTGTATCTGGGTGTTCTTCGCCAAGAATTTTATTTCTGGCATGCAGAACTTGAATCTTCAGCTTCTCTGCTTCTGTATATTTTCCCAGGTCTCCTGTATATAGATGCAAGATTTGCCATAGCTTTATTGTATCTGGGTGTTCTTCTCCAAGAACTTTCAATTCTGCGCATGCAAAACTTGGATGTCCAGCTTCTCTGCTTCTCTGCATTTTCCCAGGGCATCTGTGTGTACATGCAAGATTTGCTGTAGCTAAGATTGTATCTGGGTGTTCTTCACCAAGAATTTTATTTCTAGCATGCAGAACTTGGATCTCCAGCTTCTCTGCTTCTGTGTAGTTTCCCAGCTTTCTTGTATGTAGATGCAAGATTTCCTGTAGCTATGATTGTATCTGGGTGTTCTTCTCCAAGAATTTTATTTCTGGCATGCAGAACTTGGATCTTCAGCTTCTCTGCTTCTGTATATTTTCCCAGGTCTGCTGTATGTAGATGCAAGATTTCCTGTAGCTCTGATTGTATCTGGGTGTTCTTCTCCAAGAATTTTATTTCTGGCATGCAGAACTTGAATCTTCAGCTTCTCTGCTTCTGTATATTTTCCCAGGTCTCCATATATAGATGCAAGATTTGCCATAGCTTTATTGTATCTGGGTGTTCTTCTCCAAGAACTTTGTTTTGCGCATGCAAAACTTGGATGTCCAGCTTCTCTGCTTCTCTGCATTTTCCCAGATATCTGTGTGTACATGCAAGATTTGCTGTAGCTAAGATTGTATCTGGGTGTTCTTCACCAAGAATTTTATTTCTAGCATGCAAAACTTGGATCTGCAGCTTCTCTGCTTCTGTGTATTTTCCCATGTTGCGGTATGTAGACGCAAGATTTGCTGTCACTAAAATTGTATCTGGGTGTTCTTCTCCAAGAATTTTGTTTCTGGCATGCAGAACTTGGAGCTCCAGCCTCTCTGCTTCTGTATATTTTCCCAGTTCATAGTATGTACATGCAAGATTTTCTCTAGCTCTGATTGTATCTGGGCGATCTTCTCCAAGAATTTTGTTTTGGGCATGCAGAATTTGGATCTCCAGCTTCTCTGCTTCTGTATATTTTCCCAGGTCTCTGTATGTAGATGCAAGATTTGCTGTAGCTAAAATTGTTCCTGGGTGTTTTTTTCCAAGAATTTTGTATCTGGCATCCAGAACTTGGATCTCCAGCTTCTCCGCTTCTGTGTATTTTCCCAGGTCACTGTATGTAGATGCAAGATTTGCTGTGGCACTGATTGTCCTTGGGTGTTCTTCTCCAAGAATTTGCTTTCTTGTGCACAGAACTTGGATCTCCAGCATCTCTGCATCACTGGAATACCCTTGTTCACAGAGTAACCAGCCAAACTTTCTATAAGCATCATCAAAGTAATTGTTGTTATACTGCATATTCTTTCTGACATGTGTCACCAAAGTTCTCCTAAAGCCATATGACTGATTTTCATCATTTTTCAGAGAAGCAGATAACATAGCAAATGCCAACAAAGAGCATTTTTGCTTTTCACTGACACTCATCCTATCCCCACCCCATGCATTTACCAGTGGATGCATACTATGCACACTACCAGATGCATCTTTCTTGATTAAACAGAAAGACAGTAAGACTCGAACCCCCTCTTTAAAGTGTAGATTATCCCAAGTACCATCCTTATTGAGTGATAGCAGTTTGCGATCTAGAACAGAATGTGCCAGTGGTAAGTCAGGGTGAGACATTGTTTCATTTTCTTCAGTAGCAGCATAGGAAAAGATTTCTTCACTAATACTCTCATGATGAAAAAATGGAAACAATGCCAGTAAAAATAATGCACTGTCAGCTGCTCTGGCCTTGTGGAAATCATCAGATCCAGCCCTCTTTTGAATTTCCTCATATGATAACTCCCAAGTTCCATAGACACTTTTGTTATATTTAGATGCTCCTGTGAATTCAGAATGTGATAACAATGTTTCTCGGTGATGGCAATATTTATCAAGGTAGTCTGCAATGTTTGAAGCTCCAGAAGCAATGAATGAACCAGCCTGATCAACAGCAAGAGGTAAACAACAAAGCTCTTTTACAATCTTAGAAGCTTCTGCATTGAATTCCATGCTGGAAGTACTCAAACAGCTAGCTTTTAGAAGTAACAAAATAGCTTGAGTTTCTTCCATCTCTGTCACCTCAAGAGAATCCTCTGGTGAAGTCAAACACTGCATGCTAGCATTGCGACTAGTAATCAGAATGTTTCCCATATGACCAGGTGGAAAATATCCCTCTAGCTCAGCAGGAGATAAAACATCAGCATTGTCAAAGACCATTATATAGTTCTCTTTCAAAGAGCCAATCCAGTAGAGAGCAGACTCAGGTGACTCATTCAGTCTCAAAGCCTTAACTGCAGGAAGAAGACAAATGCCCTTAAACCCCTGCAGAATGGTGCCAGCAGAAGATGCATCAATCCAGAAAACAGTAGAAAAACTGCAGGCAGAAAACTGTCAGCAACAAAGGTCAGGTATATGTTTTGATGTGCTCACTGGTCAGACATCTCCTCAATGAACTTCAAGCAAATTTGAGTCTTTCCTATCCCCCCCATTCCATGCAATAGAAAGTACTTCCTTTTCTGAACACCATTATTAGGATTAGCAGAAAAATGTTCCTTCAGTTTCGCAATAATCTCTGCCCGGCTTGTGAACCGAGTGCTCGGGTTTGGCACGAGGGGCATTACTGCATCAGACATCACTCTATCGCCAAAGTTGTTATTGATGGTCATCTGCGAGAAATCCAGGCCATCAGCTTGCTCTACGAAAACCCAACAGTTTCACGCACGGTTCTGGCTGCATTGATTGTGCTGTTCATGAAGTTAACGCCATGAGCGCCCGGAAAAATATTCGTTTCGCTCATACTGAGGTGGAGAAAACACTGGTAGATGGAAGGAATCTGACGTGGGCGAAGGAAAGAAACGAGTACCTGACGCCAGGAGACCCCCAATCCTACCACGTGTCGGACAGCGCTTGACAAACAAACACCTTTCAATCTATGACGTTTTCGTTATCCAGGCAGTTCCTCCGTCTCCAACCTTTTACCAAACGTTCCTTCCCAGAAATTGGGAATGTGAATGAATCTAGCTGCGCCATCGCCTCCTTTCCCTGTAATATGAGGCCACAGCAGGTTTCTTGAACTAGAGAAGGTGGCCTGTCCGATTACTACTCGTCTCCAGCTGTTCCTTGTAGGGTGCTGATTTGGTACTCGTTTCTTTACATTCCTACCAATGAACCCTAACTAACTATGTGCCAAGGTACATGTCGCTTCTCCGAGCTTTGGAAATTCGAGTTTCTCTATCTGCTTGCCACTTGGCCGCTGTACTTATCGTATTTGACGGCGCTCGTAGATGATGGACGACAACTCTTCGCTTCTCGACAAAATCGATTCCGCGATGCCAGCGCCATTGGCCAAGTTCGATGCTTCTCCGGAGCTTCTGTCAAATCGGTCATACCTGAATCTTGTATGGTGGTCTCAGACATGATGGGTGGGCAATCCAGCCAGCGACATTTACATCGGGAGTTATCATGGTTTCAGAGCGTGTATACTTTTGGACAAGCGACGGCGCTCAAGCGAGTCTTTTCTTAGAGTCTCCAACCGTCTAAACTGACTAATGTTTAGGGAGCACTGGGAAACTTCGTCTCCCCATCAAGTCATTTCACAGTCCCTGAAATCTTGCGGCTTGTTCGCCAATCTATTCCGAAGAAACAAGTCCTACTTCCAACCAATCAACCACACGGCAACGCATGGAAAGTTTGGGGTTCTCTTTGGGTTATAGGTACGCATTTTAATCTCATTTCTTGGGACTTTGCCTGAACTATGACATATACAAAAGGCAATCTTCACATCACTACCCTTGGTCATGATTATGCGAGCTATGAACATAACCGTACGTCCTTTCCGCTTCCCCAACATCCAGGCTTACATCGCCACTAGAGATGACCGTCTCGCACGTCATCACAGAGTTCTCATTCGGGCCCTTTTCCCCCGAAACTACCCTACCATTGGACAACTCTTTCGAAATTACACACGAATGTAGGTATATCTTCTCTTTCCAACACCCCCCTAACCTATCAATATTTCCCGACAACCTACATCACCCCTCGTTCCGCGCCTCTCCACACTCACCAATACGGCGTAACGCACTACAACCCCATAATGCAATAACCAACGCACTCCAGGCATCTTCTCCCAATTCGACCTAGACCCACTCGCTACTACACAACACCAAGGAACCACGACCTTCCTCCCACTCCTCCTCTGCTGTGTCGGTGTCATCGGGGGAGTATTCGTTCTCATGGGGTACGCCATCCGAATAACCACACGCGGAGTAGGGGTGTTGAGCAGCGCAGACCAAACGCCAGGGATCGTCGCCGCCCAGCGTCCGGAGCTAAAGTCGCAGATCGAAATGGGCCGGGGGCGAACTCTGGGCTTCGACCCATGAGCGGCAAGATGGTTCCTCAGGGGAGTGGCTGGGCTTTGGAAGGCTCGAGCACGTCACCGTATGCCAGTTATGCCAATACGCCGCTTACTCGTGGGTTCCCCGCCCCTGCTCCTCAGGGCGTGCAGTCCCATTTTTCGAGCTCGTCGTATTCACACCTCGTTCCTCCACCCCCCTATCATGTACACTTACGTTGGGAAGACGACTCCAATTTGAAGATTCCTCATCAAACGTCCTCAAATATGCAAAGTCCATGACTTTACTCTACCGACGCTTTGCGGGACCGCCCCCCTCTTTGATAGAAGTAGGCAACGCTGACTTCGTCCAACCAGTTGCTATAAGCCCAGTTCTCTGCCCTCTAATGACAAGCCAATGAGCGAAGCGAATAGGATACGACGAACATCAAACACTACACCCGCTTCTTTGTGTTTCTTGTAGGCATATCCACCACCAACGATGGCGGCAACCCCTTCAGCCAAACCATCAGCAGTCGATGACACGATGTGGGTTTGACCCAACAGATATGGTCTGTCACCCGCCTCAAGTCCTTTCTTGTGCTTGTCATCATTAACCGACCTTTGATCTTCTCGGCGTGGAGACCCTCTGTCTGATGGGTTCTGTTTCGCTCAACCCGTCAATGGCACCTGGTTATGGAGGAATTGGCCTTGGGTTCCCTTCGGCACCAGGGAATATACGCGCTTCTGTGAGCTTGGGCCCAGCGTCTTGGTCGAAGTTGGGTGGTGCGAGTGCGATGAGTAGGGGACGGAATTCCATTACGAGGGCCTGACGCCTTCGTATACCCACTTTCCGCCTACTCCGAATTCTCCGATTAGTATGGATGGAAATGGGAGTGGAGATGTGAGCCTTGTGCCGCCGAGGCGACCGACGCCTGTTGGACCTAACGAGGACGACTGATGAGGATGGGGAAGAGGGGGCTGATATGGGATACCATCCTGTACATATGGGGCTTTTTGTCGCTTTCAAGATCTTTATTGAAGAGGCTGGTACGCAATAACATCGAGACAACGTGTATGCAAACATCCAACACTTGAACGAAGGAACGAAACGAAAACAAACGCTGAAAATCAATCCCAATCATCCTCCTAACCAACAAATCCAACTTCCTTGTCCTCAACAATCCCTCCAACGTCAACACCATTTCATCCTTCGTCCCACCCACCACAATCGCCGTGTTGCTATCCGCATGAGTAGACAAATTGTGTCAAGCGCAGTGCACGATAGGATGCTGCCTCTGAGTCGATTATTAATGGGGACGGAGGGTGCAGGAGGTACGCTTTCGGTATATCTTCCAGACAATCAGCATCAGAACGGTGCGAAAGAGAAGAAGGAAAAACGCATACTATCAATAAAAGCTTACACCCCCACGGAATTTCAATATCCTCAACCCACCCCTCCTCATCGACCCTCTTTTCCAACGTGCTCAACCCGTTCATGTCGATGCTCGTATCCGCGATGGTGACGTAACAGAGTTTGAAGACGATGAGGATGGCGGGTACGGATGTACTGTCGATGTCAGGGTTGATGGCGAGTGTTAGTTGGGTTAGGGTGCGCTAAGTGGGATGAGGAGGTGTACACTGCTTGCGGGAGAAGGGTGAGCGAGTGTAGAAGGAGGGAGGGAAGAGGAAGAGGAGAGAAGGCAGAGGGAGGAGGGACGGAAAGAAAGACAAGACTTACACCTCGTTACCTTCCCTGCATTATTCAAAAATGGAACGGAGAGCTTGGGCAGGTCACAGGTGGTAGATTTGAGTGAGGCCAAAAACATGTATGGCGTGTTCCGCTGAATAAAAGGTCGGTTAATGAGAGGAAACATGTAACTCTGGATGTACGGGTAGGATGTACCATGGTCTGAAAGGAGATCTGCATAGCTTGATGTGAAGCGTCCTCGATGGTATTGAATCGTTCGGTTAATCGGTGTAATAGCGTCGACGTCCAGATCCTTGATGAGGTCGTCCAAGGGTGTTGTACGCAGACTGATACCGGGTATCGGCTGATAGTAGTGTTTGGGCGGTCTTTAATCCCAGTGAAAGGCCTTAATGGTCGCTGGTCCTCAACGTTCGACGTTCAACAACGTTCAACCGTCGCTGGTCCCAATCACGTTTTTTGTTGCCCTAACCCTAATCTTAGGTTAGGTCTTCTTTGAGTCTTCCTACCTTTTTTCATCGTCAACCTTTTTAGAAAGCGCTCAAAAGCGGAAGCGCTCTCATGCTTTCACGCTTTCAAAATCGCTGACAGCGGACTTGTAATTTCACTGACGAATGAGGCAGTCCGTTTGTCAACTTTATCGACTGGATATTCATCCTAGGATTGCCACCAAGTAACGCAACATTCGCATGGACAACACCCAAAGCTCCATCTGTTCTGCTGCCTCTGCATTTCGCGCTACCCGGACTATTCGCAACGCCTCCGAGAGTCCATCACAGACGCCCACACTCCTCCAGGCCCGCAAAGACCCCGCCTTTCACGACTTCATCCTTCTGGCTGCCAAAATTCGCTCCACAGATCTTCACGAAGCAGGCCACCGCGCTAACATCATACTCCAAGGCGGTTCTTTTCTTGCAGGCCAAGGCAGTTCCTTCACTGTCTACAGCCTACCGACGAGCAACGCCTGCAATGGCTACCACCCTCGCTATGTGGCGATCAAATCCCCTCGAGCTGCCCTTCATGTCGATAAGAACAGTCAGAGTTTCCGACGCCAGCTTCGTGATGCGTATTTCGAGCTACAAGTCCTTTCTCACCCTCCTTTGAGAGCCCACAACAACATCGTAAAGTTGCTAGGAATTTCCTGGGAGCCGAGTCCAGTCTCCCTCTCAGGCTTCCAGGGCCCAGAGACATTCTGGCCTGTCCTCGTCATCGAGCATTCTGAATATGGTACTATCCATGACGTTTTCGAGGACATCGAAGCGAGGAATCCCACTTCACTGACTGTTGAAACAAAAGTCAATCTCTGCCTAGACGTTGCACGAGGTTTAGAGGCTCTCCACCATTGCGGCATTGTGCATGGCGACGTCAAGTGCGAGAACATTCTCATATTCCGGCAGCCCCCCCGTACCACAGCTAAACTCGCCGACTTTGGCTGTGCTCTCTCAGATGTCAAGAACAAGGCCGAGTTGAAGGGCCTTACAGAGCCGTGGGATGCACCAGAGGCGCGTAATACCCTGACAGGTCGTGGACTGATGGCGACCGACGTTTATAGTTTGGGGTTTACGTTGTGGAGAATTTTAGGCGACGGAAAGAGCCCTTTCACATCGGCGGTTGTTCTAGATGCGATGAAGGGCCAGAGTGTCAAAGATTTCAAGAAGAGAGACGAGCTTTGGAAGCTAGCTTGTGTGGATATAGCGCAACGAGGAGACTTTAACGCATGGATGAACATCACAGGAGCGGCATCTAGTGGCTTAAAACAAATTGAATCAGTGTTTGAGAACACACTTCGATACGATCCTTTTCGTCGAAGCCTGAGTCACAGCGTGGAGCTGCTAACTCAAGCACAGAACCTGTGTGTAATTCTTATTTTGGAGTTTATAGTCTGTCTAATCATTCCTTTCATAGCGTGTGTAAGGAAACAGAAGCGGGAACCATGACGAAAGAGGATCCTGACCTTACTGCGAATCCAAAGATTCCCGATTGTGTTCGTGATACACTTCGCATTCTGTGAGTAATGTTTCAAACATTGATTTGAGAAATGTAAATTGATACCGAGTTCAGTGAACAAAAAATACGCGACATGGAGGATCTTCCCGCAAAGTCCGAAGCACTACAACACATTAAAGTCGAAACGCCAAACTTGAGCATCGCGGACGATTACATGCATCTCTTTATATCGCTCAAAAACCTCGATGTCCGACTACGGAGGACCTTGACACAGAGTTTGCAGTTGGTACAGACCAATTCACCAGAGGAGGAGAAAGATATCGGCAGATTACTGTTCCTGTATTACCTGGAAGTGGACTTCCAGCCAGACGAAGCTCTCAGATGGCTTCTGGTTGCTGCTAAATCAGGGGACATCATAACTCAAGCAATCGTGTATCGGATGTTCCACGTCTTCAATAAACCCATTCCGGCTGACGTTCCGATCCAGAGATGGCTTTGGAATGGCGCTATTCGCTGTTCTACACTAGCGTTACAGGATTTGCGGTCCGAAAACCCGGAATGGTACAAGCAGGCGAAAAGTGCAGTAAAAGGCAAATATGGAGGTTTGGGTATCGACATTTATCAAGAGTTTGAGGTGACGTTACGACTCCTTGCCTTTTTCGCCAAGGACCGCAGCAATGATAGCGATTCCGACGATGACTACCCTCTTGGTGTTGTTCGTGTTGTTCAAGACAAGTCTCCTGGTTGGCCCGGCGAAGTTATAAGAGGCATCGGCCATGGTCGCTGTGACAAGTTCAGTCCAGAGAGGGGTGACTTCTGGGAACCGACGTGGACGGGACAACCCCATCAGACGAAGAGTGGCGCCATCTTATACGGGTCCAATCCGGAGCAAGCCTTTTTCATTACAATGAGGATCAAGAAAGGCCATATGTATAGCGTTAGTGGCTTTGGAGACACTATCGTCCATTATGCTGCCAATCGAGGGTTTCTTCAGCTTATGGAGTTCGTCTGGGACAAGTATAAACCAGACCTCAACGATAAGAATGTGTTTGGGGAGACGGCATTGTTGCAGGCCTGCCGTGCAGGCCATGCTAAGATCGTATCATTTCTGCTGGACAAGGGAGCAGATGCGAGTGTTACTTCTGCACGTGGAGAGACACCGCTACACTGGATAGGAAACGTGGAACAAGAAGAGATGCCAGGGCTAGTCTCTCGGCTGATTACTGGCGGTGCATCTCCTGCGACCCGAGCATCATATCCGGATGAGCTTCAGCGGGCATGTGGCATCGAGCCTCAGGTATATTCCTCGAACCTTCTCTTTTTTTCGTTTATGTTGAAATTTCTTAGATCGGGGCTTCCATTGAAAATGGTAACGCCTTTATGTGGTCTGTCGCGCGAGGCGACTCTGCTGTCGTCAAGGCCCTTCTCGGCGACAAGTATGGCCACAAGCCTGATGAGTTCGATGCTATTTGGTCCGCTGTCAAGTTAGCCTCGGTCTACTGTGAGGTAGACTGTCTGTCGATGCTAATCAGTCGTGCAAAACACTGTCAAAAGGGGGTCCTCAACCCGGAGTCAGTCTACAGATGTCTCCGTTCTGCCATGACCAACGATTACTGTCGACGACTCCACCGCTTATTACGCCACGGTAAGGAGTGGATGAAGGCTTTCCGATTGACTGTGGTATGTCTCGAGGAAGCGGGGGCGAGTCCTCGACCTCAAGGCTATGACTGTGGATCAGGGATTCAAGATATGACTGTACTTTTTCAAGCTGTGTCGTCATTCTCCGACATAGAGATGATTCAGCATCTTCTTAACTCCGGCTGGGGGAAAGAACTCTCAATATCCTGCCTTCGTATAACTCCAACAATCCGCGCGATGTGCGAAGAGAATCACGAGCTCTTTGAGCTTCTGCTTCAATACGATGGCAATGTGTTTGACTCTCAAATTCTGGACTTCGGAGACGGCCCGATCGTGCATAACGCCTACACTTGGATTGCATCCTCGACGCGATCCAACCTCCGCATTGTAGAACGGCTTCAGGGACTGGGAGTCCCATATGTAGAAAACGAGCGTATGTCTCCTTTTGAGATGTCCGTCCGCAGTGGCCAGTTTCAGCTGGCTACTTTCTTCCTGGATTCCTATGAGGCGAACATAGAGCGACTCATCTTCGACGAGTTCTGTAATGATATTACAGCAGCCGCGTTTGGATCACCTCTGCCGCTGACACTTCTGGGCTGTCTAATTCTTGAGCATTCAATCCGGGCTCTCCCTGCCATCAAATATCTACTCCACAGTCAAGCCCGTGCACCGAGCTTTATCGTCAATCCGAAGAAAAGGTGGACTGCTCTCCACGCCGCAGTATTCATCCACGAAAATCAGTACGATAGCGAGGCAAACTCACGTTTGCTGTCCATTCTTCTTGAAGTTCCTCAGGCACTGAAGTTCTTGGAGTGCAAAGATGAATTCTTAGGCGGGACACCGTTGCATTGGGCAGCCATGTGCGGAAATGACAATGCAGTGAAGATACTTCTCGAAAAGCAGGCTAATATCTGGGAGACGGAGAAGAACGGTCTGGGTGTGGTGCAACTGGTGGAAACAGAGTTGAAGGTATTAAAGAAGGTGGAAGCGGAATGCGGCACGACCCGGAAGCGCAACAGCGAGACGAAGCGGCTCCACAACATTTTGGCACTTTTAGAGCAGGCTAAAGCAGATGAGGCAACAAAGGACATTGATAATAGAGGAGCTGTGAAAGAGGCAACGAAAGGGAGTCTGCGGAACTAGAGGCTGTGAGGTACATCGAGGTTACCGGTGGATGTAAGCTGCTGTCAACCACTGTATGAAATTGGTATGAAATACACATTCAGGGAGACATCTAGACATCACACCGATCTAACTCTTTAACGACCTTTTCAAAAAACTCTAAATGAAAATCCTCTTGCCCCCACCTACAGCTTAGACACACTTCCACAGTGCGTTTATACACATCTCCCATCCAATGCGCTAGATCCCCACTCTCCAGCACATCCCTCTTCAACCGTTTCAAATTTTCCGAAGCATTTCGGTTCTCGCTCACAAGCTTCCGCAAAGGTTTCCAGTAGGCAATCTCGATCAAGATCAGCCCTAGACTGTACACATCGTATTTCTTGCTAAATGACTCTCGCTCTTCGCCTTGTACATCCGGGTGTCGATATTGTGCATAGATTGGATCATTGTCGACCGGTTCAGTAGCATCGTAAGCGCTGCTGAGACGGGCGAACCCAAAACCCACTATAAACGGCTCTTCGATAAGTTTCGATATGGACAATGAGGAGGAGCGGTCGCCGGGTCCAAAAAGAAGGATGTTGTGGCTGCGAATGCCTTTGTGCAACCAATCTGTGCTGTGCAGGTGAAGGAGAGACGTGGCTAAACGCCTTGCGAGAAGAAAGCGGGAAGTTTGGGATGGGCGGTAACGACGGGGGTTATCGTCTGATAATAGATCATTCAGGGAGTCTGGGAACTTTGTAATGAGAGTGCAATTGCTGAGGGATGGTGGTTGAAAGATGAATGCAAACCGCGCCGGCTGTTCCTCAGTGAGAAAGCCATGGCTACTGAGCACCCGAAATTCATCTGGCTTTGGGGTTGTGTGATGTAGAAGTCGTGTAAGGTTTTGCAGGCGCTGCAGAAGTTCGTCGTTCACCGATGTGACGGAGTCTCCAAAGCTTCTCCATTCCACCATCACCTGCTGATTCCTGTACATGCCCAGGGAACGAGGTGCTCCAATCTCCAGAACATGAACTTTGTGATTCGGTAGTTGGAGTGAGTCACGAATAGTACCCCCTTGTGACGACGAGCCATTACTCCTTGCTTCAAACCTTTGCGTGTACTCCATCTCTAGCTTCAGCCGCAAGATTTTGTGCCCGGCAGGTAGGGCGATTTCTTTGTACTGGTTGCCAGCCGCCCCTTGTATCACCTGCAATTTCAGCATGTCTTTCATCGCCGATGCTTCGAGGCAGAGAGCCCGGAAGTCATTTTGGAACTGCAGGCGCGATGCTGACTCGAGCATGCCTAAGAGTGTGTCATTATAGCCACGAAGCCGCGTCACAAGGTCAGAGAACGTCTCTTTGTCCACAGATACCCAGGGGATCTTTTGGAAGAGAGAAGAGCGAGACTGGACAGTAGACGTGAGCGACGATTGTCGCTCCTGCTCGCGAGAATATTGTTCACGCAGCGAACGCAAACCCTGGATGTAACTCCGGCTTCCAACATTATCATTTGTTCCCGACAGTTCTACATCAAGTCCGTACCGCTTCTTGAGCTCCTTTGCATCGTTTGTGATGCTCGAGATCTGCACGAGAATTTGCATGACTGTCTGCGCGTTTTCCAGTGCAATGGTGCACCCACTAGTCTTGCCATCGCTGTTACTTGGTGAAAGAAGGCCAACACTTCGTCCCCACATCATCAAGCGCGCTTCTTCGATCTCGAGCTGGCAGAGGAGTTTGGACGCGTCTTTGCCGAGATTTTGGGCTGAGAGGAGAGCCGCATATCCCTGCATGCAGGTAGAGAGAAGAGAAGCCATAGAGACAGCGCCGATAACGAAGCCAGCAACCTCCATGATCGGGAGAGTTGCTCGATTCAGCTGAAAGGTGAACGTTTCTTCTGTGGTCGTCTTTTTCGTCCGCTTTACGCGTCAAGTCGGGGTCGGTTTGCGCCTGCTTACTTCGGGCTGTGCTACATAGAGCCTAGGTTGCCTTTCGTCCAGCGCTAGTGTAGCGGGAATTAGCGTCCGGCGCTCGTGTGGCGGGAATTGGGCCCTCAAAACCGGCATGCAGATTAGAGCAAATCAGCGAGGTCTTGAGTGAGAAACGACAGCAAGTTTCTGCTCAATTTTTTGTTAAATGGGAGGGGTAATGGCCTTGTCGAGGTCGATTTTGAGTAAGGTTTGTGAATTCGATGAGTACATCTCAGAGCTTCGCTCTCACTCATAAATTCGGTCACGTGAAATCTAATTTCCGTTTCTCGCCATCGTGGATCCCCCGTTCAGAATCCAGATCCCGTTGGCAATCCAACCAGCGGCACTTACTTTGGAGGTTCACACGAACTTCAGACCGTGTTTCATCATATGTTGGACATGCGACGGCGCTTAAGTGAGTGCTCCTCCTAGAGTCTCCAACCGCCTAAGAAACTAACCAATGTTTAGACCATTTATTGCGACTTTCCCTGACCTATGACGAATGTTAATGAAAGCCAATCTTCACATGACTTTCTCGGCCATGGCCATCGAACATGTAAATCATAACTGTACGTCCGTCGCCCTTCCCCACCATCCAGGCTTACGCTGCCTCAGAGATGAACCTCTTGGACGTCATCACAGCCTTCTCATTCGGGCCCCATGTCCCCTACATCACCCAACCATTGGATAACTCTTTCGAATGCGCAGACGAACGTAAGTACCACTTCTCTTTCCAATGCCCCACCTTACATCCCTCCAAAACAGGTTTCGTTCTGGCAACCTACACCTCCCCTCGTTTCGCGCCCCTCCGAACGCACCAATATAGCGTAACGCATTACACCCGCATAGTGCACCGAAGATGAACATACCTATGCTCTGCAAATATTCCATGACTTTTCTCTACCGACCTGAATAGCGCCGGCCGGAATGTTTTTTTTTCCTGTTCAAGACTCAATTTGCGGGACCGCCCCCTCTTTGATAGAAGTAGGCAGGACGCTCTTTGGCTTCCTTCAACCGGTTGCTATAAGCCCAGTCCTCGGCCCTTTTCTGTGACAAGCCAATGAGCGAAGTGAATAGGATACGACGAACACCAAACACTGCACCTATTCATTATGCTCCTCGCGTTTCTTGTAGGCATATACACCACCAGCAATGGCGGCAATTTCTGCAGCCAAACCAGTGTTTGACACGTCAGATGTGTGCTCTGTCACCCGCCTCAAGCTCCTTCCTGTGCTTTTCATCATCCAACCAACCTTTCTTCTCCTCGGAAAGGGGTGCCTCTGTCTTACGATAGCTTCTAACCTTCTTTGGCCCAACCCGTCCGTGGCAGCTGGTCATGGAGGGATTGGCCTTCGGTTCCCTTTGGCACCGGACAGTATACACGCTTCTGCGAGGTCAACGTCGGGTGGTGCGAGTGTGATGGGAAGGAGTCCTAGTACGGGGGAATATGCCGTCTTATTCGCACTTTCCGCCTGCTTCGAATCCTGCGATTACTACGAGTGAAAATGGGAGTGGGGATGTAAGCCAGAGTCCACCTAGAAGACCGACACCTGTCGGAACGAAGAAGGACGATCGACGTGGATGGGGAAGAGCGGCTCATATTGGATACCATCCTGCACATGTATGTATTAGGCTTCTTGTCAATTTGTAGATCTAAAAATCAGCTATCGTTGAAAAGTCTCGTAGGCGAAAACATTGATATAACATGTATGCAAACGTGCTGCACTTGAATGAAGGAACAACAAAAGCGGAAAACACAGAAGACGAAAAAATACAACCCGAAAACCACTCAACGCCCAACTCACAAAACCAACTTCCTCACTCGCACCAAAAATCAATCCTCAACCCTAATCATCCTCCTAACCAACAAATCCAACTTCCTCGTCCCTCAATATCCACAACCCACCCCTCCTCATCGACCCTCTTCGCCAACGTCCTCAACCCGTTCATGTCGATGCTCGTATCTGCGATGGAGAGGTAACACAGTTTGGAGAGGAGGAGGATGGCGGGGACGGAGGTGCTGTCGATGTCGGGGTTGGTGGCGAGTGTTAGTTGGGTTAGGGTGCGTTTGAGTGGGATGAGGAGGTATACCCTGTGTGTGGGAGAAGGGTGAGTGGGTGTGGAAGGAATGAAGGGAGGGGAGAGGAAGGCGAGACTTACGCCTCGTTTCCTATCCCTGTATTATTCAGGAAGAGAATGGAAAGCTTGGGGAGGTGGTGGATATGGATGAGGTCGAAATCGTGTACGCGTGTTCCGCTGAATGAAAGTTCGGTTAGGGAGAGGAAAGTGTTGGGGGTGCTGAATGCTGCGTGAAGGAAGAGGGATCAATGACGCAAGATGGAAGATAGGTGGAGTAAAGGGCAATACCATACCCGGGAAAAGGTCCTTGCCGCATAGATTGAGCCCATTTTCGTCAAAAAGGGAGTTTACGAGGGATATACGCTCCACGTCGGTGGTACGCAGAATGTCGAGGATGCGGCCGTTAATGTGTCCTTTAACCGATCAAATAAAGTGAGATGTATGCGCAGTAGTGAGGAAATAACATGCTCTGAAAGAAAATCCGTGATAGCTTGCTGTGAAGCGTCCTTGACGTTCTTCAATCGTTCGGATAATCGAATCCCAGGTATAACGGCGTCCAGATCCTTGATGAGCTTATCCAAGTCGCGTTGGGTCAAAGTTTTCGGATGGGATTCAGGTTCAAGTTTTCTAGCAGGAGAGGAGGCAACAAAATACGTGAGAGGTTCCCTGTTGTGAGTGATATCGAATTTCGTAGAGGCGTTATACGTAGACTGAGACTCGGTTGATCTGGAGTACTTGGGTGGGCCTTGGAGGTCGCTGAAGGATGATAGACGTCTGCGTTTCAATACCGTCGTTTCAATGGAGTCATGTCCATCAGCCCGAGCATGAGATACATAGCTACCGAAAATCCAGTCCACGTCGTCGTCAGCGTCACTTTCCGAGGTAGACTGGTCGAGGGTCCTAGCAAAGGAAATGAAGAGTTTTTCACCGCGTCGCCTCGAAGTAGAAGTAGGTCTGTGAATCCGAACGCGGTGTCGCAGAGAGCTGAGATAGGTATTCGCAACTAAGCCCATTGTCGTCATAAAGGAGATTTACGACGGATACATGCTCCACGTCGGTGGTACGCAGAATGTTGGGGATGTGATGGAGTTGCCGCGGCGGGCCGTTCCTCTTTGACCTTGCCTCAAATGGCCCTCGCAAACCTCCCTCACCCACTATGAACCAAGCAGGAGGATGACCTGGTCTACAGTTCAAGAGAAAAGCACCTCGCCTCTCACCGAAATGAACAAACACCACAACAGTCTCTTTTTCGAACGTACCTACTTGGGTTCTCTCAACGGTATTTTACGTGTGCTGCGGGCATGACACGCTTTACAGTCCTCGGTTTATACCTATAACGTGTCCATGCACCCTCTACGTCGACCATCCACCCATTACTTGATCCACTTCTGCTCACCACGGGATCTACGACTAAGAGATACCGCGAGGAACTGCCCAAGATCCTGATGTCAATGAACGGGGGTGGCCGGGGGAAATAGAGGGAACGGTGATGTGGTATGCAGTGTCGCATAAAAAGGCCGAGGAGGATGACTTGACACGTTCCGTGGCATCATGGGCTAGTAGATGATAAGTGGCGGAAATTTTTGTTGGATTGGATGGAGAGGCGAGAGTGGGTTGGTTTTCACGCGTTTTCTTCGTTGCCAGAATTAAAACTGTACAGATACTATCACTACCTGGACCCGCTCCACCACCTCCATCACCTTTGGGATTGCCAAAGAAACGCAAGGTCTGTTCGTCCGCACCCGCTTGTCCCCCTTCCCACCTTGAAAGGCAGTCTGGAAGTCTTCATGGACAAAATGTCAATGTGGCAGTTAGTTTCCCGCATTGACTTGTCAGGCAAATTGTGCGACATAAAGCACGAACGGGGCTGGATGCAGACATTCTGCAAAAACATTTTCAAGCCCCAGTACGTTTCGAGTCCCCTCGCAAATCATACCAAACTGATTATGGGTCTCAAATCAGGCACAAAGCGGTAGTACCAGATTAAAGTGCCATCCTCCGGTTTAAAGTCTTCGCGCAGCCCTTGTCAGACCGCGCATCAGCCACTGAACGATCCACCTCCCCTTAAGCTTCTAAGACTCCCCAAAAATCAACACGCGTCCTATCCACTTCCAGACAGCATTCCCCAGCACTTTCCACGACCTCAGGCTGCAGTAACACAACGAAACCACACGAGGCTACATTTGCTCGTTCTCGCTCCCTGTCCATCTCTCTAGAGCAAGAACGAAGATAGAAAGACCGCGCGGAGAGTGTGGGGTCGATAAGAAACGGGTCTTAAACGCTCGGAGGTTTGCATGTCGCGCGTGTTTAAGCCCATGCCCAAGATGTAACGGACGGAGAGCAAGAAGCAGTTAGCGGTTGGGAAAGGGAAGGAGAAGGCGGATGGGAAGACGACCGACCTCGAGGGACGTGGGTGCGACTTTGGTGGAAAAATTGCCTGCTAAGCCGCGTGCGAGGTCTTCTTCGCGGTCTCGAGTGCAATGCCAGGTGAATTCACAACCGACAGGGAGTCAACAACTGGCGACTGGTCGGTCTACTTCGTCTTCACATTGGGCTAGGGACCTGTTCGGTTTTGGGAGGTCCAAGATGGGCGATGAGGAAACTTTGGAAGAGCCGGAGGAGATCTAGCAACTGCATAGTTCGCCGGACGTTTCACTGCTGAATCCCGAGCCGAGGAAAGTGTTGACAGACAGCACAGCAGTGGCATGGCGCTTCCAATTTGTGCACAGATTTTTCTTTGCATCTCTCACTGACGATTCTCTCCAAAAGCAATACCTTTTGCCTATTTCGTGTCGGAAGGTCAACTCGATATTTTGGACTCACGCGGTGCAGTTGTTCTGCTCCAAACTGTGCCAAAACGAGCCAATCGCATCGCTTTCTGGGCGCTTTTGATTGTTTGACACATAAAAATCACTCGCACGTTGCGCAAGACTCGCCAATCACCAAATCTATGAAGATACTCTTCCCTCCAGCACGAGAGAAGATCCTCGCAGTTCGCGCCACCGCGCCAAAGACAGTCAGCCGGCGTAGCAAGGCCATCTTCACAGCCTTGAAAGCCGAATTAGAAACTATGCTGGTCCTCTTCTCGCATCGGGCGAGTGGGTCTCCTTCGTTGAGTCCCAAGTACGTTCTGCACTCGTGTTGGATTGTCAGGCTTTCGGAACTCGGCATGTACCGTGTCCTTTTTCCTTTTCCTCCGGTGCTCATTGAATTTGTTTCCTATCAGGTACAGGTACGCCAAGCCCCAATATGATGCCCACAAAGCTATGGAACTTCGGCTGGCCATAGGATCTTACTATTGTCAACAAGCGACAGTATGTTGTCTTTTCCTCGGTTTCATTGATCATATGGCGGTCGAAATAGAGCTCCAGGAAGACGCTTGGGGTGCGGTGGCCACGAACACACGAGGTATATCTGTGCTTTCAAATCAGTATTGGGAGCACATATTGACAGACGCCCGTTTTGCCCACGTTTGTGTATAGGTTTTGGCTGCTTTTGTTCTGCTGCTTTTGTTCAAGTGTGTTACTTAATCGCGTTCCGGGGTCTGGATTTCGGAACGCTGCTACTGGATATGTAGATTGTTCAAGTTGAACATGGAGGAGTATTGGAGGACCTGTAACTAGGCTATTCTTAGGAGGACTAGTAGTCTCTAGCCTCGAAATGGGAATCTATTTTCATGTTTCCCTGTGATAGATAGACGGGTAGAAGGATTGCATATAATACAGAGAGATACAAAAAAGGGGGTAAGTATGGAGAAGGAAAAGCAATGTGTGACAAAACAAAATGATGAGTTTTGAACACGCCCCCAGTGACTCGGAAAAAGAAAGGGGATTGTCCAAAAAGAAGGTGAGGCAATAATGATAATAATATAACACAAGAAGAATCCTGAAAAAATCGTCAGACGACGCCAAAAAGGAAAGATAAAATACCTACCGTAAGGACTGAAAGCCCAACTTGTCGATTAACTGGACCAGGTGCAGTTGGGTACGCCGGAGCTCATAAAATTATGCAGTAGTCCTTCGAGCTCGTCTTCCCACCCGCCTTCTCCTTCCCTTGCCCAACCGCCAACTCCTTGCTCTCTGTATGCTGCATCTTCGGCGTGGGCTTGAACACCCGCGACATGCTAACCTCGCGTTTCAACACGCGTTTCTTTTTAACTTCCACACTTCCCGCGCGTTCCTTCTCTCTTCGTTCCTGCTCGAGAGATGAGGACAGGGAACGGGAGCGAGGAAGAGCCGCGTGTGGCTTCGTTGCGTTACTGCGGCCTGAGGCCGTGGAAAGTGACGGGGAATGCTAGATAGGACGCAGGACGGTCAGCGGTCTCAAGGTAGATGGATCGTTCGGTAACTGGGGAGGTGACACATTGGTTTGGTAGTACCGCCTTGTACCTGATTTGAGGCCCAGAATCAGTTTGGTATAATTTTTGAGGGGACACGAAATGTACTGAGGTTCGATAACGTCTTGGCGGAATATTTGCATCCGTCGCGTTCGTCCGTTGTATGGCGCAACTTGCTTGACAAGCCAAAGCTGACAACTAACTGCCACAGCGGCAATTTGCCCATGAAGGCTTTCAGATGGACTTCCAAGGTGAGAACAGGGACAGCTGGCTGTAGACGAACAGACTGCTTGCGTTTCTTTGGCGATTCCACAGGTGCTGGGGGTGGTCCATGTCCAGTCCTCCTCCTCGGCCTTTTCATGGGACACGGCGTACCACATCATCGTTTCCTCCATTTCCCCCATGCCACCACCGTTCATCAGGATCTTGGGCAGCTCCTGGCGGTATTTCTTCGTCGTAGATCTTGTCGTGAGCAGAAGTGGGTCAAGCAGCGCGTGTAAGGATGGTGTAAGGGATGGACGGTCGAGGTAGAGGGTGTGTGCACGCGTCGCAGGGATGGACTGAGGAGGTGTGGAGGCATTATTGACTGTGAAGCGTGTCAGCACCGCAACACACTTGAAATGAAGAATTTCAGGAAGAGCCCTAGGAATTGAAGGACGTTCGGAAAGTGAATTGTTCTTGTATTTCTTCGTTTCGGTCAAAGGGGAAATCATCTGAGATGTTTTCCTCTTGAACCGTAGACCAGGTCACCCCCCTGCTTGTTTCTAGTCAGGAAGCGTGAGGTTGCCATTTGATGGTGCAAGTCAGAGAGGAACGGCAACAAACGCGAACCCTGGAATTCCAAACAAAACCGTCATCATGTATGATGTCAGGCTGAGATTGAAAGGTTTGCGTGCTCAACACGTGGAAGGTTTGGGGGTGTCAGGTACTCGTTTCTTTCCTTCGCCCACTTCCATCTACCAGTGTCTTCTGCACCTCAGTATGAGCGAAACGAATTTTTTGCCGGGCGCTCATGACGTTAGTTTCATGAACAGCACAATCAATGTAGCCAGCACCGTGCGTGAAAATGTCGGGTTCTCTTACTTAGAGCAAGCTGATGGCCTGGATTCCTCGCAGATTACCATCAATAATAACATCTCCAACGACAAAGCGATATCCGATGCGGTAACTCCCCTTGTGCCAAATCCGAGCACCCGGTTCACAGGTCGAACGGAGATTATTGAAAAACTCCAGGAACATTTTTCCGCTAATTTCACCAATGGGGTTCAGAAAAGAAAGTACTTTTTACTGCATGGAATGGGAGGTATTGGAAAGACTCAAATTTGCTTGAAGTTCATTGAGGAAATGTCTGACCAGTGAGCATATCAACCCATATGCTTGACCTTTGTTGTTGAAAGCCTACTACCCCCCAGTTTTTCTCCTGTTTTCTGGATTGATGCATCTTCTGCTGGTGCCATTCTACAGGGGCTTAAGGGCATTTGCCTTCTTCCTGCAGCTAAGGCTTTGAGCCTGAATGAGTCATCTGAATCTGCTCTGCACTGGATTGGCTCTTTGACTGAGAACTATCTGATGGTCTTTGATAATGCTGATTTCCTGTCTTCTGCTGAACTGGAAGGATATTTTCCACCTGGCCAAAGGGGAAACATTCTGATAACCAGTCGCAACTCTACTATGCGATCTCTGACCTCACCAGAGAATTCTCTTGAGGTGACAGAGATGGAAAAAGATGAGGCTATTTTATTACTTCTGAAAGCCAGTTGTTTGAGTACTTCCAGCATGGAATTTAAAGCAGAAGCTTCTAAGATTGTAAAAGAGCTTTGTTGCTTACCTCTTGCCGTTGATCAGGCTGGTGCATTCATTGCTTCTGGAGCTTCTAACATTGGAGACTATCTTGATAAATATAAGCATCACCGAGAGACATTGTTATCACATTCTGAATTCACTGGGGCATCTAAATATAACAAAAGTGTATATGGAACTTGGGAGTTATCATATGAGGAAATCCAAAAGAGGGCTAGATCTCATGATTTTCACAGGGCCAGAGCAGCTGACAGTGCACTATTTCTACTGGCATTGTTTCCATTTTTTCATCATGAGAGTATCAGTGAAGAAATTTTTTGCTATGCTGCTACTCAAAAAAATCAAACAATGAGTCACCCTGATTTACCACTGGCACATTCTGTGCTGGATCGCAAAGTGTTATCACTCAATAATGATGGCACTTGGGATAATTTTGTATTCAGAGAAGGAGTTCGGGTCTTATTGTCCTTCTGCTTGATCAAGAAGAATACATCTGGTAGTGTGCACAGTATGCATCCACTGGTCAATGCATGGGGAAGAGACAGGATGAGTGTGGGTGAAAAGCAAAGATGCTCTTTATTGGCATTTGCTATGTTATCTGCTTCTCTAAAAAATGATGAAACTCAGTCATATGGCTTTCGGAGAAGTTCGGTAATACATGTCAGAAAAAGTATGCAGTATAGCAACAACTTCTTTGATGATGCATATGACAAGTTTGGTAGACTACTAAGAGAGCAAGGATATTCAAGTGAAGCAGAGAAGTTGAACATCCAGGTTTTTGATGCCAGAAAGAAAATTCTTGGAGAAGAACACCCAGACACAATGTTAGCCATGGGAAATTTTGCATTAACATACAGAGACCTGGGAAAACATACAGAAGCAGAAAAGCTGGGGATCCAAGTTCTGGATGCCAGAAAGAAAATTCTTGGAGAAGAACACCCAGAGACAATCTTAGCCATGGGAAATCTTGCATTAACATACAGAGACCTGGGAAAACATACAGAAGCAGAAAAGCTGGGGATCCAAGTTCTGGATGCCAGAAAGAAAATTCTTGGGGAAGAACACCCAGACACAATCTTAGCCATGGGAAATCTTGCATTAACATACAGAGACCTGGGAAAACATACAGAAGCAGAAAAGCTGGGGATCCAAGTTCTGGATGCCAGAAAGAAAATTCTTGGAGAAGAACACCCAGACACAATCTTAGCCATGGGAAATCTTGCATTAACATACAGGGACCTTGGAAAACATATAGAAGCAGAAAAGCTGGGGATCCAAGTTCTGGATGCTAGAAAGAAAATTCTTGGAGGAGAACACCCAGACACAATCTTAGCCATGGGAAATCTTGCATTAACATACAGAGACCTTGGAAAACATACAGAAGCAGAAAAGCTGGGGATCCAAGTTCTGGATGCCAGAAAGAAAATTCTTGGAGAAGAACACCCAGACACAATCTTAGCCATGGGAAATCTTGCATTAACATACAGGGACCTTGGAAAACATATAGAAGCAGAAAAGCTGGGGATCCAAGTTCTGGATGCTAGAAAGAAAATTCTTGGAGAAGAACACCCACATACAATCTTAGCCATGGGAAATCTTGCATTAACATACAGGGACCTTGGAAAACATATAGAAGCAGAAAAGCTGGGGATCCAAGTTCTGGATGCTAGAAAGAAAATTCTTGGAGAAGAACACCCACATACAATCTTAGCCATGGGAAATCTTGCATTAACATACAGAGATATGGGAAAACATACAGAAGCAGAAAAGCTGGGGATCCAAGTTCTGGATGCCAAAAAGAAAATTCTTGGAGAAGAACACCCACACACAATACTAGCAAAGGCAAACCTTGCATCAACACACAGGGACCTGGGAAAATATACAGAAGCAGAGAAGCTGGAGATCCAAGTTCTGGCTGCTAGGAGAAAGATGTATGGAGAAGAACACCCACACACAATCATAGCCATGAGGAATTTATCGGCAACACAGAAAGCCATGAGTCAATCCATGAAGGTGGACAATGCAGAGAACCAAGTTCACAATACAAGCTATGGAGTTCCTGTGACCCAAGATATGGAGGAGGGGAATGTGGACAGTGAAGTTCCACATGCCAGCAACAGAGTTCTGGGAGAAGATGTCTCTGATGCAGTAGGAGCTCCAGCTAGTCTTCCACCTACCACCAATCTGGGTGATAGAATCATTCATTCTGAGAAGAAAGGTATTTAGTTTAGCTGCTAATTGCTTTTCCATATTTTTGATGCTCATATTTTCAGGTAACCTCTGTTCCAGTATTGGCGAGAGAATTTCAAAATTTAAACCCAAGCTGTTGCTTGGAATTCATAAGAAGAGAGGTAATGCAGCTCAGTCCTGACAACTCCTCATGTGTTTTCAATTAAATCAAACCTAGGGTATTTTTCCACATCTCTCTACTCCAACACATAACTAAAATACAGTACACATAGATATAAGTTCATAACTGAACAAATTTCATCATACTGATGATGAATGTTGGAAATGTTTCACAGTTACTTATTCTGTACTTCATTCAATTTTGTTTTACTTTGACCCATTCAGCTGTGCAATACTAATGTCTCTTAAATGTAGTACTTAGTGCAATACAATAGTACTTAGTGCAACAAGTTTAAGGCAGCTGACAAGAGATTACAGATTGAATAGAAAGAATGACCTGATTTTAGTTGTAAGTAGTGTTTGAAAGTCCAGTTAGATTAGGTTATTGGGTGCCCAGGGGCTTTAACTGAGACTGATGGAGAGGTGCCAAGTGATGCAAGGAGAAGGCTGCCTCAGAGCACAGTTGCAATGCTCGAGGTAAGCGATGATGATTGTGTGCTTGTGTACAAACATGTGTATCTAGTCCGAAGCTCCTGCCAAACATGACCAAACAAGCATCCTCAAGTGTTGGAGTGTCGAGGCCCGACACTTCACCAAGACTGGTTAGCCTTCATTTCCAAACCCACAATAACCTAGCTGGACTGAAGATAACCGACCAAAACTGGTTAGTTGTAGTTACTAACCAGTTAGAACTGAAAAAATAAAGAATTGTTTAAATTTGGGCAAAACCATCCATATATATCTCAGTCAATGTTATTGCGGTATATATTAGCTTTAAAATGAACTCAAGAACACTTAATTTGGTGAGGAATTGTCAGATTTATAAAAATATTCTTGAAAGTCTACTATTTTGGCTGATATTTTTGATATTTGACAATACTGTGGTATTTCGACCAACTGTTCAGCTGATGTGACATGTGACAGCCTTGAACAGATGAGAGGGGTGTTCAAAATTGGTATCCCCGTGGTACACAGCAACAAAAGTGTTCAGCCAGCAGCAACTGTTGGTTGAGCAGTTGACATGGCATGTGGTAGCAACCTGCCTGCCTCCTCCACAACCTCTCAGATTAGTGGGTGGTATATAGTTTTATAATATATGTACACCACACAGCAGAAAAAATGGGTTTTTCGAGAGACTTTCCTTTTTAGGGTAAAATGTCACCCTATTCAACCTTCCAAGTGACCTGTGATCCAGTCCAGTCTTGGTTATTTTCCAGTTAACTAACCTAAATTACAAATACTAGTTGTAAGTACAATGGTGGTGTCATCCATTCTATGGCCTAGCCCTGCTGCCCTGCTCAAAGACTAAAGTTTTGTGATTTTGCAGCCACAGCTCTTCTAGTAATTGCTGGGTTTTGTAACCCATGCAGGTTACAGGTAAGGGTACGTGAGGGTGGGGTATGGGTTGGATCTATCTGACCATTGCTGTACCCATACCCACAGCATTTGAGCATCAACAACAAACCACTACCAGACTACCACCATGCACCACCACCATCACTGGTCATTACCAGTGATGACAACCACCCATTACCCTCACCAACCTCCTACAACCACCCCGGTA